CCGAGATACGAGCTCGCGTTGGCCCGGTGTAGAAGGGGTATTTTAGATGGAAAAATCAGAGACCGTATCAAATTGGCCAGGGGTACATTGCTCGATAGTTAGAGGTATTTTTGGTTTGCCCTTGGACGGGCGTGACGAAGAAGTGATGTCCTCTTTCTGAGGTACTGTTCTAGAGGTTCTAGCCATAATTATAAAAAAGGTTTCTAAGGAAGAGGATGAAGAGGCAAGCACAAAAAGGAGATGAATGCAGAAGATGGTAAACTCAGCTCTAGAAACTTGAAGATATTGTAAAAGTATGAATGACAAACGCTTGAGGTATTTATATAAGCCATTTGGGAAACGTTTGAGAAGCGGAAGAGTCGAACCAATAACAGTTCATGGGCTTCTCGGTAGTCGCGCTGACAGCGACCCCTGCGCAGTTTCGAGTCATGGCATTTAATGCTCTGATGGGCTGACATCATGATGATAGTATCGAAGAGGAAAAAATTCAAGACCGTTTCTTATCATTTTCATTCTAAGAAACGCGGGGACTATCTGTGCTAAACTATTTGGATAATCATTGAAGTCTACTTGAGATTACACAACAACCAACGCAATTTGGAGAAATGATGATGCTAAAGAGACTCCTTTAATCTATATTCTAACACAGTAACATCACATGGTGCATCTTTATCGTCTAAATCCCGAAGTTAAAAATTCACTCAAATTGTGGAACAAATTGAGGGAAAAAGTTTTTTCTTTTTTGTCTATGTGTATACGGCTAAAATCAGAGAGTCCGATTTTACGATCATTACGGCATTCCATAGCCCGTCTCCAGAAGGCTCGAGGCGCAGCTCGAGGTTCGACCCTAAGGGTTCCCAACGTTTAACCTCGGGGCAGTACAAGTCGGTGGCAGTGATGGACAAATGAGAAGTTCCCAAGGTACGTGATTAAAGTTGACCAAGTCGATTGGGCTAGTACAAGCCCGTACTGTGGCATTAAATAGCTGTACCAACTGCATATCTTTGTAATAAATGAATCTGTACTATATTGAGATTCCCCCTCATATATAAAGGGGACCCTTATCATTTTATAATATACATGATATTCAATACAAGAGCAAGAACATTCTCTGCTCTCTAACTTAAACACTCTCTATTGTCTTTCCTTTGATTTATTACTTACATTTATTGCGTTTCATTGATTGTTGTTCATTTACTACTCATCAATGATAATAAAGAGTCATTATCAAGGCTCTTAAAACTGTTAGTCCTTCATCGGCTATCCACAGCCTAACCCTTTAGCTCGACCTTGAGGCCCAGTATAGGCTAGCTCGAGACCCCGATTCTCGGCTACTCGATTTGTATAAGTGTTCTATCTTCAAGGTCTTACCTTATTTTCTAGTATCACCTTAGCATCTATTGCCTAACAACTAACATTAAAATAAATCACATATTTTTAGAATCATAAAATCAAATCTAATTGTAATTACCATTTTCAATGTAAACATTACGGTAAAACGATATTTGTTCAAGTGATCACTCTAATGCAAATCACCAACTCAAAACGAAAACTGAAGCTCGGTAAATATTGTTGGTTAATTGATGAACGGTAACAATTTAAAGAGAAGGGGAAAATTATAGTTTGAAACAATTTAATTAAAATGTATAAGATGGAAAATTGACTGAATACATTAGGTGCACGTCCTGTTCAATCAAGAGAGACCTATAAATATAATAGTCCTAGTTGTTTTCTTTGAAAAAACAAAATAATGTCTCAAAGTCGTCATTACTCCATCATCACAAACACTCGAAGAAAAATGTAAAATGCAAAGTGGAAGAAAAAGAGTAATCTTCCCTTTCCTCCTCTACATCTGCATTCTATAAGACCCTATTACATGCTATTCTATTACCCTGAAGTCTTCATCTTCCATTCAGGTTTTGCAAATTAATAATTACTAGTATTAGAACCCGCGCGATGCGCAAAAAATATAAAAGAATAAAAAGTATACTAAATTTTGATTCGACTTTTTCAAATATCATCTTATTTCTTATTGCAACATACTCAATAAGAAAATTTCTTTGAGTGTTAAAACAACTGAATTATAGTTATGAATAATTTTCGGATATAACTCAAATATATAATTAAATAATTTATATTATAAACAATCTATTGTCTTCTTCGTTGAAGTTCCATAAATTTGATATTTAATTCAACAAAAAAAAATCTACATCTTGGATACTATATAGTAATTAAAAATCTCACAATTTTAAGTACATTTCTCCAACCTCCTTGTTGGTTCTCCAAATATATTGTCCATTATTTTGTGCTTGAAAATTTCTCACCATAATTTATCATCTTTATTCAATATTTCAATACCTAAAATATTTCTAAGAAATATTTATCCTAAAAGTTATTATAATAGCATATGTCCTTACATGTTTCTTAACTTAAATTGCGCTTTTAAAGTCCATCCTTCTCAAGTTAAGTCAAACATGATAACATATAAAATTTAATTGCTTCTTCAACAAAACTTCAACTATAATTAGTAAAATTTCATTATTCCATAAGCTTCTTTCATATTAGAGAAGTCCAACATTATGTTACTTATATAACATAACCTCATCCAAAAGTAAAGTCAGTAAAATATTGTATTCATATGTAAGGCAGTCAATCAATTCTTCCCTATAGTCTTAACTTATAGGAGTACAATTTAAGAAGTCAATTCACCAAATACAAATAGGCTACTTAATTGATCCATTCTACGGAGCGCCCACACTTGATCTACAAATTCTTTCGAATAATAGCTAAAAATATGTTCCACCTACATGAAAAAAAGTAAGAAAAGTAATTGAAGTTTTGGACTAATGAGATCAATTATCCTCTATGGCTTTTTTTCTATATAATTTGTTTGTTATCTAATAACCATCCAAAAAGAATATCTTTCAATCAAAGTCACATAAAACTTAATTCAAATTCGGTGAAATTCATATTCAAATTCGATAACTTTATCCATATAGATCAAAAACTTAATTTATCTTCTTTTGTAAGTTATCTAAGAAATATTTCTTTATGTATCATATATTAGTGTTCTCGGTTTATCAATATTAGTAAGATATGATATTTACTTATTATTATTTTTTTTACTTTATAAAATATAATTAGGAGCTTATTCTGATGTGCACAATTTATCAATTTGCAAAACCATCATATTAATATTTTAAGTATATTTACTTACTTTATTTTATTTTTAAACTTAGTTTAAAGTGTAAATAGCCATTTTTATCTCAATTTACATTTTTCTATATTTTTTTCCTACTATGATTTGTTGAAAATGGATATCTGATGAGATTAACTTTATTTTTCAATTATCTGCTCAAACTTTTTATTATGATTCTTATTAGCTTTGTCCTTATTCTTATTAATTGTCTTAATTTTGACATGTGTCTTATTTTTAAAGTGCCACCTGGCTTAATCCTATTATATACTATTCTCTTTTAAATAATATAAATATAGATTTTTCTTATTTTATAAATATATATATTTGTATTTTATTTAAGATTTTTTTGCTGCTTATTTTTGAATTTTTAAAATCATCAGATTATTATTTTATGTATATTCATTTACTTTTACTTAACTTAGTCCAAAGTATAAAAAGTCATATTATATTTCAATTTAGTTCTTTTTAATTTGTTTTTGTACTATGATTTGTTGGAAATATATATATCTGATAAAATTAACTTTATCTTTTAATTATCTACTCAAACTTGAGCATTTCTTTCTCTTCCATAGAGTATTTTCTTTTTAAAAAATCAGAGTCATAGTATATATTCTTTCCATAATATAGCTGGATCGTTATTGTAATAAATATCTCTTATTTTTAGATTTTATTCGAAAAAGTGCCAAGTAATTTTTCACATTGCAAACTACCCTGCTTTTTCAAGATTAGAGAAGGATAATATTATTTTACTTAAAGTTCAAGCAACTTAATTTTCTCTTTAAGCCTTGCAATCTCTCTTGAGTTTGAAGATGTCGGCATGGATTTATTATTTTTTGAAGTAGCTTTATTTCCAATAGAAGTCGTTACATAATCAACTACTGATATCCTTATCCTGTTGTTAACAAAGGACTTAATTTCATCTCTAACAATTGAATTGGATGGTTCATGTCTTATAATATAAAAATATATCTTATCATGATCTGAGGCGGATCTAGGATTTGAGGCTTATGGGTTCCTACCGTGATTTTAGATTAGTATGTAATAATATTTGGGTTCACAGTTAGATATTTACAAATATTTAATGAAATTCTTAATATAAATACAAGATCTACGCAAAAGTTACTGGGTTCCCGGGAACCCGNATATATATATATATATATATATATATATACTTAAAGTATGTAGACCCCATTAGTGGGATTTCACTGAGTTGTTGTTGTTGTTTCTACTTAAAGTATGATTAGCCTCATACTATCTCTATTTTCGTAGTACGTTTCGTAAAGACTTTTTTTCTTCTATTTTTTTAGGACAGTACCATTAGAATATTCGTCCTTTTTTCTCATCACCTATCTATGTTGTGAAAGTTGCATACGAAATATGCTAATTAGTTAGTAATTAACCATAATTAATTCTAATATCGTCAATTCCACTACAAAATTGTCAATTTTGATTATTCTCTTTCCACATTGTTATTTATTACCAAGTGCTAGGTGCTACCATATTAAAAATAATAGGTAAATTCACTATTATTAATTCCATTACAGATTATCAATTTTGATTATTCCCTTTCCAAATTCTTTATTACCAAATGCCAAGTTGTTGGTCTTTTTTGTAAGCAAAAAAGGAAATCCATTAAATATCTATATTATATCTAATTAGATTATGTCTCAAAAGTGCCGAGTGATATTTTCACAATAGCCATTTGGCTTAACGGCATGTTTCACTACTCTCTTTTTGATATTCTCCTTTTAATATAACATAGATAGATTCCAACTCTTTGAATTATTTTTGTTGATAATCTTGTTTTATATGCTTCCACTTCATTTTAATCCAATTCTTCAGAATCCATAGTCCCTATATTTCTATTTGCTTCCACTGTAAAACACCTCCTTTCTAGTAGGTTTTTGTTAATTTAATTGAGGGTGTTCAAGTTTTCCCAGTTCTTTAAGAACCTTACTATTTGTTGCTCAATTTTATTTTTCTGGAACCCTATTTTGGTAAAACCACCCAATTACAGATTCTCTACCTCGAATGTAACAATTTCTTGTTATCCAAGATCACAAATTATTTAGAAACCCTAGAATATGCATTGCGAATTTTTTGTTAAAAGAACCCTAATTTTGGACTGAAAAGAGGAAATGGCGACTAGGGGGAGCAGATCGGAGAAGGTGAAAAGAATCTTCCAGAATTTTGATACAAATGGCGATGGGGGTCTTAACCGCGTGGAAATGGCAGCTCTGGTGGTTGCTGTAAACCCTAGGGTCAAATTCAGCGATGAGCAGATCAGTGCCATTCTCGACGAGGTTTTCCGAACTTACGGAGAGTTCATCGATGGCGAGAAGGGCCTTACATATGATGGCCTATTGCGTACCTACGATGATGGAGCTGGTGATGTTGATCGCGACTTTGAAGCCCTCGGGCTTGATCTCATCAAGCCAGATAACGACAATGGGGTGTCTATGGCTACGGAAGAGGCCTCCACCTCGTCCATTGTCGATGAGAGAGCGATGGAACCGCATAAGAAACTACGGACAGCTGCGTGGGCAGCTTCTCCGAATCATGGCATTGTGTTTGATGATACTTGGAAACTTGTTGATGACATTGAAATACTGATCAAGAGGCTTAAATCCAAACAATCAAAAGAAGAGAAGCTGAAAAATGATAATTCTGATGTGTACTCGGATGCCGGTTGGTCACGCGAATTGGGACCACCTTCCACGGAGCTATCAGATAAAAGGGTGTTGTGGGAGGAGATGGGGCATGACTATGCAGTGTTTGTGAAGGAATTGGGAGTTTTGAGGTCAAGGGCAGATGGGTCGAGGTCTAGGGAGGAAGCTTTTGATGGTCATATGGCAATTGGTAGAGTTTTGTACGATCACCAGTTCTTTAAGGAAGCATTGGTAAGCTTTAAGAGAGCTTGTGAATTGCAGCCTGCTGATGTAAGGCCTCATTTCAGGGTTGGTAATAGTTTATATGTGCTCGGGAGATATCCTGAGGCCAAAGAGGAGTTCTTGCTGGCGCTGGAAGCTGCGGAAACTGGTGGGAATCAGTGGGCTTATCTACTTCCACAGATTCATGTGAACTTGGGAATTGCTCTTGAAGGCGAAGGTATGGTTATTAGTGCTTGTGAGCATTACAGAGAGGCTGCCATTTTGTGCCCAACTCATTTCAGGGCTATGAAACTTCTGGGTAGTGCTCTTTTTGGTGTGGGTGACTATAAGGCGGCCGTTAAGGCATTAGAAGAGGCCATTTACATTAAGAGTGATTATGCTGATGCACATTGTGATCTTGCATCTGCATTACATGCAATGGGTGATGATGATAATGCTATTAAGGAGTTTCAGAGAGCGGTTGATTTGAAACCTGGTCATGTTGATGCTTTGTACAACTTGGGTGGACTTTATATGGATATGGGTAGATATCAGCGAGCCTCAGAGATGTACGCTAGGGTACTAAGTGTTTGGCCGAACCACTGGAGAGCACAGCTCAATAAGGCTGTGGCTTTATTGGGGGCTGGTGAAAATGAGGAAGCTAAGAAAGCTTTGAAAGAAGCTCTAAAGATGACAAACAGGGTGGAATTGCATGATGCAACAGTGCATTTGAAACAGCTTCAGAAAAAGAGGTTGACGGGGAATGGGGGTGGCAATGGGGAGGAAGCCTTCATCACTGTGGAACCCACAAAGTTTAAGAGACTGTGTGAGAAGACGACATTAAGATCAGATTTGGCCACTGCACTAGATATTCGAGGTTTTCAGAGGATTACTCGATTTAACCATTGTGATGTTGATCAAATAAAGAAGGAAATTAGTGAAAATGATGTACCACTTTCTTATTCTGGAGGTGGTGTGCCTGAAAGGTCTATACGTAAGGCTTCACTGGAGGAGATTCTGTGCAGATTGCTTAGTTTCTTGAAGCCAGAAACTTTCGTAGGAGCTGTTAAAGCCATTAACCAGAAAATCCTCTCTGTTTTAGACGAGTCAGAATCGAGTAGGGTGGATGTTGGAATGTTTTTTGCTGTTATTGCCCCTATCTGTGGAGGACCACCAGACAAACGGAAACGCTTTGCATATGAGGCTCTTTTGTGGCGACCCGTGAATGAGGGCAGCAACCAGATAAGGAAAACCGATGCTCAGAGGTATATCAAGCTTTTAAGAGCTATTTATATTCCTTCACATGGAGCGAGTGAAATGCTAGAAATTCATGGGGATATGGACACATCATTGGTGTCTTTAGCAGAATTCTTTGCGATGTTCGATGATCCTGATTGGGGTTTTGGCATTATGTCTACTTTGTTTAAGCTTGAAATCGGGGATAGGAACCGTCATGGTAACCATGTTTGTGCAACTTGCCGCTATCCTATCATTGGGCCTCGCTTTAAAGAGATGAAATCGCATTTTAGCTTGTGTGGTCAATGTTACAGTGAAGGAAAAGTACCTCCAACCTATAAGCAGGAAGCGTACAAATTTAAAGAGTACGCAAATGAAGCTGAGGCATTGAAAGATAAGTGCTTGTGGTTTGGTTTGCATTCTAAAGGTTCCTCACCTACTGCTGCTTAGCTATTAGAATGTAATGATCTGTGTGAATTATTTTACTCAAGGAACTTGTGTGTTGGGCTTGTACATAACCCTTTCTAGTTGTGATATCTTTGTAGAGTCTCGTGGTTCTTTGCTGGTGCCTTTATCATTTCCTAACTCCATTTTGAGGTTCATCAGTTGTATCATGCGTAAGATGTTCAATTATAAAGTTAATGTTACTCCCTTTGACATCTACTGCCTAAGTTCTCTGCGTCATGTAACAATTGATGATTCAGTAGCAGGGGACACCAAAGACCACACTGTTGATAGCATATCTCTGTTTGCCGTTTTGGTTTTTATATGGAGCAGAGTTGGACTTGGCAATACTTGTATGCGAAGTAATAATAGCACGGTATAGCCAGTTTTCGGACTGGTCATTCAAAAATAGTCAGCGTTTACGAAGTCAATGAAAAATAGCCACTATTTTGCTGCAACAGAGACCGGTCCAGCATAATATACTAGAGTTCGGTGCACCTGTGCATGAACTCCAGCATATTATGCTGGACCGATATACTTTGCTGACTCCAGTATAATATACTGGAGACTAGAGCACCGGTGCTCCAAACTCAAGTATATTATACTGGACAATTATACTTGTTGGAACTCCAGTATATTATGCTGGAGTTCTAATGTACTTATGCTGGAGTTCCAGCATACTTATCCTGGAACTCCAGTATAATATGCTGGAGTTCAAGCATACTTATGCTGGAACTCCAACATAATATACTTGCGTATTTTCTGGGTTTTGAACAGTGTTTTCGCTCAAATTTATCTTTACATGAAAAGTGGTTAAATTTCGATTATTTTTGAAATTGGGCTATTTTTGAACGACCAGTTGTAAATCTTGCTACTTTTGAATTTCTTCCGTATGCGAAGGTTTGATCAACCCACTTAGAGGATTGCGCCTTCCTCTTGCTCTTAGATTCCCAACTGCTTTGACTGTCAAAAGGAGGAGAGTTTTTGAGTTCCATCTAATGTAATGACTTAACTTTTCATCTAAGAATAAGGTAAAAAGGCCTCCTGGCCACTTAAACTTGCACCCTATTGTCATGCCGGTAAATAAACTTTCAAAATTCTCATATGAACACTTCAACTTGAGCATAAGTGAACTAATAAATATCTCCCACCGTTGAATCAGAGCGCGTGCATTACGATTTCACAAATGTGGCTACCCAGTCAGCAATAAACGAATTAAAACCTGTCACGTGTCATTTTTGACCTAAAGACCCTAAAACACCCCTTTTCAGTCGTCTCTCTCAAAGAACTCTACATTTTCAATCGTTTTGCTCAAATGGAGTCTGCCCAAACCCCCAAGCCAACATTTTCAATGGTCAAAGTGTGACTCAACTATAGAACCTTTAAGCACCACTGAGTAACTCATTTCCCCTGTTATCGACGGCTTTGCCAGCATATTCGATCTGAAATACTTTGCCGTCTGGCGAGAATATCGTCACCGATAAGTTACAACTTGTTCCTATGCTGGTCATTTTCTATGTTTTGATTCCTTTGCTGTGAAATACTATGGATTTTACTGATTCAATTTTAAGTTCGGATTTTTTTTTGCTTTAGAATTATGAACGACGGAACATACAGAGGAAGAAGAAAAAAGTTTTCTTTTGTGTCAAGACAGAAAAAAATTGGAACGAAAGGGGAAGTGTTAACAAAAAAATAAAAGAAAAAGGAAGAGATAAAAGGACTGTGATGAGAGGGGTAACGAAGAAGAT